GATATTGTAATAATATCAAAATTCCTTACTTTTTGATAGGTAATCCAAATGTAAAACAAGAAAAGAAAAAATTAAAATCTAGAAGTATATTTATTTCATACCTCTAACAAATAAAAACAACACAAGCACTTTTTACTGTCTATCTGCATAGTGTGGCATGTCCCGTAAGACTGAGATTTGTATGGTCAAATCCATGTTTCAGTTAAAGGAAAATGCATGCACAGTCTTCTGATTTTCCCTTCGATTAAGGATTCTGTATATACTAGCATAAGAAATATATTAGTTAATGCAGTGTTATACATCAATATTTATAGACAATTATTGTGGCTATGTTTATTATAATTTTGTTCACTGTAATGGCTGGAGTGCCTAAACCATCATGCTGTGTAAACAAAACTCAAATCTTCATCTCTGCATACTGCTCCACTAGTGTTTAAACCACTGAAATGGTGATTATGGTAGAACATCTTTGGTAAAAATTTACTCTACTGTAACCCTTGGCGAATCGTTTCTTTTTTTTTATATCAAGATCGTCACCTGAGAGGATCGGCACCAATTTCAAGGTGGCCGCTACACAAAACCAAAATAAGAAGTCAAAGACATACACAAACTCTGTGTCCATGTACACATCGACCTATTAAAACAGAGAACTGCACAAACTGGGCATTGTGCACTGCCTTAACTTTGTCCATGTACACATTGATCTATTTTCACTTTAAGAAAATCAGAAAGTTAAAAATATCATAGTTACCAGAAAAAATTTGCCACTGTCTTAACACACAGACAACCAAAAATACACAAACAGAGAGGAATAAGTTACCAAAAATACATATTTCCTAACATAAAAACATTAAACAACAAATCTTCTAACAAAAATTAACACACAGAGACAAAAAAATAAATGAAACGTCATTTTTTTTAACATACCTTTTTTTTTTTCACATGCATATGTTTAGGCTTCCCACCACCATCCTCCAGGTAAGCAATTCAATTAAATTTTTCGTCTCTTAGTCACCTCAGACATACTCAAACGATGGTACCCACACCAAAATAATAAATAGCATGTTCAAAATACAAGACCATACCACTTCCGTGCAACCAAACACAGCAATTGAAGAGAATGGTAAGAACCAAAAACCTGGGACCGTACAAAAGGTTTACTATTAAAAAAAGTAGCCCAAAACTAAATTTATCACAGCACGTTGGCAATATTTGCAGAAATAACTCCTTTTTATTGACAAAAAAAAAGTTTTTTTTTTTTTTTTCCCAAAGGCTACTTTCGCCAACATTATCAACATTAGGGTTACCGAAAAACTTATTTGACGCAATGGGCTTCCACATTTCACAAACAACCAATACCACTTTGCGATTTTTTTTCAGACAGAAACCAAGGTGTACCATACAGTAAAGATTAGCCACATCTTCATTTACTACTGTTACAAGTACTTCTTTGGTAAATTTCTGCGGTTAAATTCAAAAGTTTAAAATTGCATTAACATGATCAGATTCAGAATCATAGCTAGGGTTTTCAGCGCTCAGGGACAACTGAAGATTTTGCACCCCCTACTGCTTGCCAAGGATGGAAAACATTTAATTCTAAAATGTTCTAACATCAGTTTGGCACCCCTTGGATTCTGCACCCAAGGACAGATGCCCCCCTCTAGCTACGTCCCTGATCAGATTTTATTTTCTGCACATAGCTAACAATTACTTATGTGTTGTCTGATAAATGTTACCAGATGCAGTTAATTATTTTTTACTTGCCAATCTCATGAGACAAGTTTTTTTGCTCCTGCAAGACTTTACTTTGTGTTGCAAAATAAATTCATTCTCACTCTTTTTGGACTTGCCTACACATTAAATTTAAAATAGTTTTATGAATAGGTAAGATGTGATTATCATAATTTTGTTTCTCTCTTTATCTTGGCAACTTTATATGTTGATTCAGTATCCAGGTTACCTACCAGTGGCTGACTGATAAAACTGCTCATATGTTCAGCTGGTGGTTTGAGTTTATTTTCTGACATAAAAAATTTTAAAAGGCATCCCCCATATTATTTATTTTACTATAATCGAAAAATCAAATAATTGCTACTCTGTTTATAGGTACTAAATGTTAAAATATTTTAAATGCTTCCTTTAATTTGCATTCTAATAGTCATTTGTTTAAATTTAATTATGAATTATATTCACATGTAGTAATTGTGAGTGTTTTTTTATTTTAGGTGCTGTGAAAGGCAATGACAGAGATCCAATTTATCAAGAGTTCTTATATACATAAGAATACATGGATATAACATTGTTTTTCATGAATTCAAATAAAATGTGATAAATTGGATTAATAAAAACTATTTTGAATTTTGAAAAGTGTTTTTCCTCTGTTAATCATAATATAGTGCCATAAATTTCTGAATGTGTTTATTTTTCATCCAAATAAATAGCTTTACAAAAATTTGTCATATTAATAGATATTGCATAATTTAGCATTATTATAAATATTTATTATAGCAGATTTAGCTGAACTACTTTTTTAGTCTCTTTGCAGATGAAGTCACAAAGGTAAGTGGTTAGATATTTTTCTGTATTCCCCATTAAGTAATTTTATCTGGTAAATTACCATTACTTATATAGTACAGGTGAAAGAATAAGCTTTCCTTAAAGATGCAAAAATTTGCAGATATTCCAAAAAATTGGTATACATAAAAAAGTTCTTAAACTGCCACATATGCGAAACTGAAAATGTTATATATGAAATAGTTCAGAAATATAAATATTTTCACTATTTTTTAACTATAATTCACTGCATTTGTTATATATAATCACAGTTTAAGGTAGCAGTGCTTTTCTCACTGTGATTTCTCATGTATTTTGATTCATAAATACACGTATTTTAATTTCTCTTTCGAGACCGATAAATCCACGTATTTTGATTTCTCTTTTCTCTACTGAGACCGAATAAAAAATGAACTAAACATTCTCGTTGACATTGAGAGTTGAATAAAAACCTCACCTCAAAACAAAATGAATTAATAAATTTATGGAAAATTTTACATTGCATATATTGAGCAGAAAGAGTAAACTGAATATACTTAATGGAATTAATAATTGGTAGAGTTGATAGCAGAATAAAATGCCTTAATTGCATGGTAAACAGTAGATCTTTTGAAGTTTTTCTATGTTGCGTAAAATGCAGATTTAAATTTTTGATATTGATTGTCATATAAATGGCAATTACTGTTTTATTTTGCTCTGAAATGAATGGTTAGTAATAAAATTCTGGATGAGACAACCTTTAACATGCGCTAGAATTTACAAAGTTTAATTTGGTGCTGATTTCAACGGGTAAATTTCATTTTACTGAATTTTGCGTAAAATAATACCAATGAACCATTGCAAATTATTTTCAGAACTTTTTTTTTTTAATCTAAAAGGGCTATTAGTTTTGAAATGTGACTTCATATCGTCACTCATAAACTTGTTTCGCTTTTCATTCAAGTCTTGCCATTTGGCAAAATTTAACATATTTACCTTTAAAATCTAATACATTATTGACCAACAAGCCAAGCTATTTAAAAGCATTACACACAGTTCTTAACAATGCTTTTTTAAATTTTTAATCTGATTGATTTAAAATGCATTTAATTCATGATATATCTAATTGAAAACATTTTAATATTTCTACATAATTACATGATATATTTCTTCATTTTTCAAATATATAGAAGACATATAACTTTCTGGTGTCAGTATCTTATAAAATGTTTTGCTATTTCCACTGCCCCATCTGTATTGATAATCTATGCATTCATAAACTTTTAGCCTCTTTGAGTGACTGCTAAAATCTGAGGCCTTTCAGATTTTTTTTTTTTTAATTGTGTGAGCAGAAAGATAGAATTTTAGAAGAGCTTCTTGAGTTACCTTTTGAATGATATAAAGAATTGTTAACATAATGTCAAATTTTTACAACTAAATATTACATATATAAAAAAGCCTGCATTCTCATGTTACGAAAACATATTTATTTATTCTGAGGCTAGGAATTGATTTAGTTTTAAAAATACAATTTATTCCTTTTAAGAATTTCCCAACAGTGTCATCAAAACACTATAAATTCCTTACATGTTTTAAAGAAAGATGATTCATTTATGTAAAGATTATTAAATGGGTAATTTTATTATTCAATTTTTAATACAAATTAACTGAAATTAGAGACTGATTTTGTAAAATAATTTAATTATGAATAATTCAATTTAGGGGCTATTGGATGTTTAAAAATGATCAAAAGATTTTTAATATCTTAAAAATAAAAGCAAAATTTTCAGTTTTATTCACTGGAATTTTCCTCTGTATATATACTGGGATGTGACACTAAGCAGTAGAGAGTATGTATATTTAAGAGGTTAAAGGGATATTGTAACTAGTGTTTCAAATCCTAATAACATCCCGCACGATGTCGATGGGACTTGGTTAGGATGTCCTGAGGATATCCCGGGATGTGACATTAAGCACTCGGGAGGAGGTTCGCGGGATGTCCTGAGGATGTGCGCATATCCCGCGAGCAACATCCTTGGGATATCCCAGGGATGTTTTTGTTCTATGTGGGTAACGGTGTAACGGTCATTATTGTAAATTGATGTAGTGGGTGTGGACATCATTTGTGTTTACGAATTTTTGATTTTGTGTTCGTTGTTATTTTGATGTATTCAAAGTCTTAAAATTGTTTGATATAAGTTTATAGGGTATATATTATTACATGAAATTGTTATTATACATTTGCCTATCAATATTTTTTTTTTTTTTTTTTTTTTTTTTTTTTTTTTTTGCAAATGTTAATAATATTTTTTCAAACGTTGAAATAAAAACTTGATTTAATTTTTTAGTATTTTCCTATTTTATTTGATATCAGTTCTAATGCATTTTTGACTTAAGAAAATAAAAATTAAAATTAAGTGTTAAAGAATTTAGAGTTAAAAAGTTTCTTTCTCTTGTTTTCTTTATAGCATGGTTTGGTGGAATGTTAATTGCTTGTGGAAGTATCGCTATTCGATCGAGGATATCGAAATTAGTCAATCGAATGGAATTGGGTAATATACTGCAATTTTTAATCCTTTTTTCCTCATGTATTTTCAATGCTTGACGCATCCTACGTTAGGAAAAAAATAGTTTCTTGTTCTTAAAAAAAGACAATTCCAGCTTACACTTTACATCAAAGAGGAAGTAAAATACTCTAACATGTAATTACTATACTAAATGTCGTTTGAAGTTACTTTATTAAATCTTGAACCTTTTTATGAATTCATTCCTAGAATTTTATAGATAAGCTTGAGTACTGAAACGGAAATGTGGTATCATCTAATATTCTTAACGACATCTTCAAAACACTTTTAGGAATTTTAATACAATGTGTTTTAGCCTTCAAATTTTAATAAAAACGTATCATTTTTGTAACGAGATATTAATATGAATTTCTATTTAGAGCAACATAAAAAAATTTTTATAAATAAAAGTTTTATAACGCATTTCTCTTTCAGCAGTAAAAGAAAAAAGTTACTGTCATAAATTTTGATCCTCAATTATCTTACTTGGGCAAAAGATTGAAAATGAGCCAAAAATCTATCTGCTTGCAATCAAGCAAATAATGGGAACCAATTTCGTGTACTACACATGCAAACAAATCATGTATCAGGGTTGGGCTCTTTTTTGTAGTCTCCTCTCAGTAGTTAGAAGCTCCTTGTTCGAAACCAGCAGGGACTCGAAGAGATTAAGAAATTGTTTCTCAGATTAACAACTTATTCTTATATAAAACGACCCATTTTCCTATATAGAGCAAATTCAATATTTAGGTATTATTTTAGATTTTTATTTTATGTGAAAGCCCCACATTTCATTTATCTAAATACCGAGCACGTCAAGCCACACTTTTTCTCCTGATTGCTCGAAACAGCGTTCTATCTATCAGTAACAAATTTCTCATCTGTAAAACATCTCATGTCCCGTTATTGCTTACGTATTTACATATACTATCTGGAGATATGCATATGATTCTTCTACTGAAGGAATCGAAGCTGTGCAGAATTATTATTTTTAAGAAAAGCCACACAGTGTAGGCGGTTTATTAGCAGTCAAGTATTCCACGGGTAATAATATCAAATTCATTAAAGCCATCATCGCTTATAAGGTAAAAACTTTCATAGAAAATTCCCATTGTAGGAACAACACAATTTCTGTAATATATTATAAATATAGGTATTTTCTCCCACCTTTTTGCATGCCTTCATGATGTAACTGGAAGCACGCTCGACAGGTACTTGGGAGGTCCGGATTTCCAATCACGGAGAGGGCATTTCACATGTTTTACGTTTCTGCATTTATGTAACCTGATGACTCTAAGGTCCGAACTAAAATGCGGTGGACGATAACTTGTCGCCACCAGAATTTGGCGACTTAACTCCCTGGTTTCTAGTCAACCTTTAAAAGGAGGGAGTGTCTAAGGTATTTTCTCTCGCCTTTCCTAATGCCTTTGTGGTGTAACTGGAAACACGCTCGACGCGTGATCGGGAAGTCCAGAAATCGAATCCCGACGAGGGCAAGTGCAGATTTCTTCAATTTCAAGACATCGAAATAGTTTAAGAGACTTTACAAGTGGCGCCCGAACTAAAAGGTGGTGGACGATAATTCGTCACCGCTAAGCTTTGGTGATTGAGCAAACTTATTCACAGTCACCCTTTAAAAAAGGGAAAGTATGTAAGATATTTTCTCCCTCTTTTCCGCATGCTTTTGCAGTGTAACTGGAATCACGCTCGACGCGTATTCGGGAGGTCCGAAATTCGAATCCCGGCTAGGGCATTGCACATTGTTCACGTTTCTACATCAGTAGTGACTGTTTAACTAAAACGGCCCTAATTTCCAGACACTCCTGTTAACCTAAGACAGAAAAAAGAAACTTCATCAATAATTTTACTAAAATTCCCCACCTCACCTGCTTATTTAGCAGTCCTCTTGAATTGCATGGCTCTCAAATGAGACCACTACATCCTTAAAACTCTCACTTTTTTCAACCAATATTTCCCAATTATTTCCACTGCCGCCCAGTCTCGTGCCTGAGCTAGTCAGCTAGGCATCAAAAGGTACGTGACTGAACATCGACTAGATTATTAGGTTCCTCCTCCTCAGAAATACTTGCGACATGTTATCGCTTTCGTTAGTCTGCTGATATGCTGAGATGACCCGCTGTCCTTTATGCACATAGAACTAAACTCTAACTACGAACCTTCCATATGCTAGAGTCATCACTACTCGAAAATCTCCGTACATGTAACTCTGAGATAGTGCAAAAACGCAGGATCCATTTCAGCGAACTGGGTTCAGCCATGTGTTTTCTAAAATGGAATATTTACCATAAAATACTTAATATAGTAGTTTTTTTTAAACAGGAGACGTGATAAATAAGCAATGCCCTCGCCGGGACTCCAACCCTGAACCTCTCAAAACGCGTCGAGTGTGCTAACTGTTACACCACGAAGGCATGTTGGAAGGAGGGAGAAAATACCTTATAAAGTTATATGAGGAAACCAAGAAAATAAAAAGAAAGGTTTCATTATCGCCTATAGAGGAGGTGTAACGAAAGTTCTAGATCAAAGTCGAATCACTCATAATCCAAAAAACGAGATGCATGGCCTGGAGGGTTTTCCATAAATTTTAATAAACTTAATATTTACATATGTACAATGTAGGCTAAAATGCCTGAATCGAATATTTAAGGCTCAAAAGGCAAGAACTGAATAGTTCCAGCTAAAATCTAAAATCGAATTCTGTTGCGTAGTGCATCGAAATTCTACCTTCAAGAAGAAGAATATTTTTTCAAGTCAATTGTTCAGAAGGGAAAAGGTTAAGTAAGCCAATAGTTGGACTCCTAACGCCATCTCTTGGCGATATCAAAGAATATTCCTTAACACACTCCCCACCTGAACTCTGACAAGAGTTCATCTAATTCAGTTATACATGCAATCAAGTACATAAATCACTATTCTATAAAAATATTAAAAAATACTAATTAGTCAAATACTTCAATTCCAATACAGGTTATACACTTCATGTATCAAATAATAAATGTTATAAATGAACTAAATTTTAAAATATTTTCCACTTAATTGAACAAACTTAACTAACGATATTCAATTTAATCATTAATAGACTAAAAAAGAAAAAAAGCATAACTAAATCGTTAAAGTTCAAAATATCTAAAGTTCAAGAGGATATAGATGTTGAACAGTACGTTTTAAAATCCCATTACCAGTTTTTAATTCGAATGATCGGTCTTTACCATCACGTCCAGGAATAATTTTTATGATTCTACCAAGTTTTCATAATAGTTTGTTTTTATTATCTCCTTCAACTAAAACAACATCTCCTACTTTCAGTTCTGGTTGAAGTTGCGGATTCTTCAAGAAATGGGCAGTTCTAAGATCTAATAAATATTGTTGCTTCCATTTCCACCACAACTGTTTTAACAGCAATTCTTGATAACGCTTTCTTTTTAACAGCGTTTCTCTTGTCGTTTCGCTACCGATGATTCCAGAAAAAGTCAAAGGATACTTCAAAACAGTTTGTTCAATGTTTAGGAAGTGCATTGGAGTCAACGATTGCGGCTCGTCATTGTCGTTGTAAACATAACTTAGAGGTCGTGAATTAATAACTGACTCCACTTCGACAAGTAGTTTAGACATTTCTTCGAAAGTCAACCAAGCTTTTCCTACGATTTTTCTTAAACATTCTTTAACAGATCTAACATGTCTCTCATAAAACCCTCCCCACCATGGGGCTCGCTCAATTATAAATTTCCAATGGATTCTTTCTTTGACAATGAAATTCTTGAAATTGTCATCTTTTAAAACTTTTGAAAATTCTCAAGTTCTTTCTTTGTCCTCTTAAAGGTCTTTAGGTCTTGGCGTTGTCAGAGTAGATGATTACGCAGTTTCCTCTTCTGCTCAAAAATCTACGAAATGCAAGTAAAAAGGATTCTGTTGACATATCTGATACAAGTTCTAAGTGTACAGCTGGGGTTACTGCACAAACGAACAAAACAATATAGGATTTTCGAGTGTCTTTAGAATTCTTTACGTAAACTGGTCCGGCGAAATCAATTCCACAGACTGCAAATGGAGGCGATTCTTGAATTCCATCCTTTTGTAAGGGTGCTGTCATCTGGTCTGCTGGTTTAGCTAAATATTTTTGGCAGATTATACAACCTTTTAATGCTTTTTTTGACTAACTGTCGTCCTTTAGGAATCCAGAAGCGTGATCTGACTTTAGCTAAAGTTGCAGCAATTCCTCCATGCATATATTTCCATGTTCTTTGCATACAATCAGAATCGTTAGTCGAGAATTTTAGGTAAGATTATTGGATGTTTATTATCTAGTAAGAAGTCAGAAAATTCCAGTCTTCCTCTCAACCTCATGATTTCCTTTTCATCAATGTAAGGAAGAAAATTGTACAAAGGAGAATTTTTTCCAACTGAATTACCTTCTTTGAGGGATTTATATCTTCGGCAAAAAACTTCCTTTGCTCTGATCTTATCCAGAAATTTTCTGCTTCTTGTAACTCTTTAGCTGTGAGAGTTCCTTGAATGTCGCTAGTTTTTCTTAATTTTCTAATGAAACATTTTGTTCAAGCAGTGACTCTTAACACCTTCTCTAATTTGCTATATTTTGATATGTCGAAAAGATCATCTGCACTTTATTCGATTGTACATTCAAAGTTAATGTATATCACCGGATCCCTTTCGGTATTCCAGCTTGTTTTCATCTATTGTTTCTTTACTATCTAATCTTGGCCAAAGTTCGTGAGGGAGCTGAAGCCACTGGGGACCTTGCGTCCAAATGGTCTCATTTATTAACTTGGAAATCTTCGTTCCCCGAGATACGAGATCTGCAGGGTTGTCGACACCTGGGCAATAATGCCAATCTTGAGGTGAACTCAATTTTTGTATTTCTTCGACACGGTTCCTGACAAAGGGTTTGAAGGCTTCAGGTTGTTTCTGGATCCAAAAATAAGTAATTGTTGAGTCTGTCCAAAAATAGCACG